ACTTGTAGAGTAAGTACATGTCCATTATCTCTATCAAATTATACTTGTAGAGTAAGTACATGTCCATTATCTCTATCAAATTATACTTGTAGAGTAAGTACATGTCCATTATCTCTATCAAATTATACTTGTAGAGTAAGTACATGTCCATTATCTCTATCAAATTATACTTGTAGAGTAAGTACATGTCCATTATCTCTATCAAATTATACTTGTAGGGTAAGTATGGGGTCTATATCTTTATGAAATCATACTTGTAGAGTAAGTAAAAGATCTATATCTCTATCAAATCAGACTTGTAGAGTAAGTACAGTATCTATATATCTATTAAATCATACTTGTAGAGTAAGTACAGTATCTATATATCTATTAAATCGTACTTGTAGAGTAAATACAGGATCCCCATTTCTATCAAATCATACTTGTGAGTAAGTACAGGATCTATATATTGTGAGTAAGTTCAGGATCTATATCTCTATTAAATCATACTTGTGGAGTAAGTACAGTATCTATATATCTATTAAATCGTACTTGTAGAGTAAATACAGGATCCCCATTTCTATCAAATCATACTTATGAGTAAGTACAGGATCTATATTTATTTCAAATCATACTTGTAGAGTAAGTACAGGATCTATATATTGTGAGTAAGTTCAGGATCTATATCTCTATCAAATCATACTTGTGAGTAAGGACAGGGTCTATATTTATATCATATCATACTTGTAGAGTAAGTACAGGATCTATATATTGTGAGTAATTACAGGATCTATATATTGTGACTATGTTCAGGATCTATATCTCTATCAAATCATACTTGTGAGTAAATACAGGATGTATATATTGTGAGTAAGTTCAGGATCTATATCTCTATCAAATCTTATTTGTAGTCATCAAATTTTTGATTGATATATCTATCAAGTACCTAGTTATTATCTTTTCCAAATCATACATTTTAAACAATATTAACACTAAATAGAACTAGAGCCACACGAGGCACAGAGTGGGACTTTGCAAATGTAGCAAATTGCAAAAGACCCTGAAAAAATCAACCTTCCACGATAATTAGATCATGTGCAAGAACAGTCTAAAGTTGAGAAATTTTTCTAATACCGGAAGTAGACGTCAGACCTCACAAGTGAAAGTATCAGCAGATAGCCAAGGTCAATGACTTTGATCTTGTAAAGGAGAAGGTCTAAAAAGGTCAAGATCAAGAGATATACGTCATCAAAATTTCTAATTGCACACGACTATAAAACTGGAAGTTGACATAGGACAGCAAATATAAAAGTATAAATAGATAGCCAATGCCAATAACGTTTGATCCTACAAAGGTCAAGGTCAAAAATTGAAAATTTTGGATTTCCAAAACCTGTTCCTTTTTTGAACTATGAAGCGGAAACAACCGAACTTCTAAGACAAAGTGGCTCANAACATGAGATAATTGTATGCAAAGTTCCATTTAGA